CCTGGTCCATCTGAGGCACCCTGGTGAAGTTGGCCTTGCTTAAAGTCCGGAGGCATCTCTGCAGCGAGCTGCTCAGAACCAGACTTTGAAATGTTGTTGGAGGGGCCAGAGAAAAGCAAGAGTTAGGGCACTCGCCTTGCATGCAGCAAACTCCAGTTTTTTTTTTGAGGGGGGGAGTTTTTTGTTGTTGCTGTTGTTTTGCTTTCTGGGTCACACCCAGCCGATGCTCAGGAATCACTCCTGACGGTGCTCAGGAGACCCTATGGGATGCCGGGGATCAAACCTGGGTTGGCCACGTGCAAAGCAAACGCCCTCCCCACTGTGCTATCACTTCGGCCCAGCCAAGCACAGTTTGAACCCTGACACCACAAGGGGCCCCCTGAGCACTTCCAGATGTGAGCCTTGAGCACAGACCCAGAGGAAGGCCCTGTACACCACCAGGTGTGCACGAAAGATAGATAAGAAGTGGGAGGAAATTGCTAGAGTCTGAATTGGGCAATGCAGTCAGATTCTAGGACGGTTCCCTGACATCCCGGGTCCTGACCCGGTTCCTATCAACCTCAGGTGCTTCCACAACCCAAAATCTTTGCGATGTATTAACTCATGTAAGTACGGCAGCTCTGCGTGGAGGTTTCTATCATTCCCATTTCACTGATGGAGAAACTGAGGAACAAGATGCCTCAGTAACTCGATCAAGGTGAGTCTTGGGCCCAGGAAGGCGTGTGCCAGGGCTGGCCTGCAAAACCACGCTCAGACTATTGCATTCTGGGACCGGGTGATTTGCAAGACTTGGATTGTGAGGGGCTGGAGCAATAGCACCGCAGGTAGGGTGTTTGCCTTGCACACGGCTGACCTGGGTTCGATCCCCGGCATCCCATATGGTTCCCCCAGCACCGCCAGGAGTGATTCCTGAGTGCAGAGCCAGGAGGAACCCCTGAGCATCACCGGGTGTGACCCAAAAAGAAAAAAAAGACTTGGATTGTGAAAAAGAATCCCCTCTTTCTTTAGCAAGGAGCCAGTAGCTTGGCTCATTTACCAACTTTGGTTTCTTTTGTTTCCGTTTTCTTGGTTTGGGGGCCACACCCAACGGTGCTCAGGGCTTACTCCGGGCTCAAGAACCGCTCCTGGCAGGGCTGGGGGGACCCTTGGGCTGCCGGGGATTGGTGAGCTCCTTCCCTGCTGTAACTATCGCTCCAGCCCCCTAAATATGTTTTCAATTAATACAGCACCCCCACCACCCACACACCGTTCTGATGAGCAAGACTCACAAACACACTTGTGGTACTTACACTTGAAGTGGTGGGGTGTAAGGGGCCACATACTTTAGTTCGGGTTCTCACACACGCGCGTGCGCACACACACACACACACACACACACACACACACACACACACACACAGAGCTGTATGCTTCTTTGTTTGTTTGCTTGCTTGCTTGCTTCCTTGCTTTTTAGGTCACACACGATGATGCTCGGGGCTGACTCCTGGCTCTGTACTCTGGAATTACTCCTGGCAGTGCTCAGAGGACCTATGGAATGTTGGGAACTGAACCCGCGTCGGCCTCAAGCAAGGCAAACGCCCTCCCCACTGTGCTATCGCTCCAGCCCCCTGTGTGCTTGTTTTTTTGGTGGGGGGGCTTTTGGGTCACACCTGGTAGTGCTCAGGGCTGACTCCTGACTCTGTGCTCAGGAATCACTCCTGACAGTGCTCAGGGGACCCTATGGGATGCCGGGAATTGAACCCTGGTGGGTCACATGCAAAGCAAGTGCCTTACCTGCTGGGCTATGGCTGGCCCATTCACCTGGATTTTTACAACCAAATCACCCTCCCTCCTCCAGCCCCTGTTCACACCGCATTTGAACTCAGCACCCTTGCTAGAACTTTGACGAAACTTTTTTTTTTGAGTACAAAAGAATTTGCCTTTTTTTTTTTTTTAAGTCTCAGGTTTCTGGGAGGATAAAGGAAGCAGGAAAGTGATTATAAAGTGATCCTACACCAGTCAGGCAAGGTAAGTACAGGGACCAGGTGGGTGGGTTGGGAGGTGGCCTGGGACCATCTTCCTGGAGGAAAACTCAGTGGGGTTTGGAAGGAACCCCAGGGGTGGAAGCAAACTTTGGTGCTTAGCAGGAAATGTGTCGTGCCAGAAATCTGAGATGAGCTGTGGCAGGGAGCGTGTGAGATCTGTGTTCTGGGGAAACTACTGGCTTCCGAGTGGAAAATGGATTGTGGAGGGGGGTCAGGCTCGGACTCCTGGGGCCGTTAGCAGGGACATAGGGGCATTTGTACACCAACTTCTTCTTTTTCTTTCTTTCTTTTTTTTTTTTTTGCTTTTTGGGTTACACCCAGCAGTGCTCAGGGGTTCCTCCTGGCTCATGCACTCAGGAATCACTCCTGGCGGTGCTCGGGGGACCCTATGGGATGCTGGGAATCGAACCCGGGTCGGCCGCGTGCAAGGCAAATGCCCTCCCCGCTGCAATATCGCTCCAGCCCCTACACCAGCTTTTCAATGCTCCAGAGATGCCAGGCACCACGAGGCAGGGATGAAGGGTCGGGAGTGCCCCCAGCCTGGGCCCCCCTTTCCCATTTTGCCCACAATCCCTTTCCTGTCCTTGCGTGGGTTCGGAGGCAGGAGGACAGAAAAAAAGTGGACACGGGGGCCGAAGTGATAGCACAGCGGGGAGGGCGTTTGCCTTGCATGCGGCCGACCCGGGTTCGATCCCCTCATCCCATAGAGTCTCCTGACACCGCCAGGAGTGATTCCTGAGTGCAGAGCCAGGAGTCAGCCCTGAGCACCACCTGGGTGGTCCAAAAACTAAAAAACCAAGAAGGGAGGGACTGGAGCAATAGCACAGCGGGTAGGGCATTTGCCTTGCACGCGGCCGACCTGGGCTCAATTACCAGCATCCCATATGGTCCCCCGAGCACCGCCAGGAGTGATTCCTGAGTGCATGAACCAGGAGTAACTCCTGTGCATCGCCGGGTGTGACCCATAAAGAAAAAAAAACCCAAGAAGGGGAGACAGTGCAATGCGCTGACTGCAGAATCCCTCGAAGGCCTTTTTCCGAAGCTTCGGAGCATGCAAAGTCTCAAGTTCTACCCCCCAGAATGTCCTGGCTCCTGAGGGGTCCCCACAACTGGAAAATATACATATATTTAGTTCCTGGGCCCCCAGAGGTTACATTGTTGTTTTTTTTTTTTTGCTTTTTTGCATCACACCCAGCGATGCTCAGAGGTTCTTCCTGGCTCTGCACTCAGGAGTCACTCCTGGCGGTGCCCGGGGGACCCTATGGGATGCCGGGGATCGAACCCAGGTTGGCCGCGTGCCAGGCCAACGCCCTCCCCGCTGTGCTACCGCTCCCCCCCTTCATGTTGGTCTTTACCCTCGAGCCTCTCCCCCAAGTCTGCCTGCTTGCGGCTGATGGCACGTGTCCCTCTCTGTCCCCTTCCCCGCCCCGCCCTCTCTGTCTAGACCTGAGGGCTGAGGGCAGCACCCACTCTGCCTCCCCAGAGTCCTTCGGGTCCTGGCCGTAGCCACGGTGAAGTCCCAAGGGGCGGCCTGAGCAGGGCGGGGCGTCGCCCGTCCCCTGGGGTAACTCTGGTCTCTGCTCCTAACGGTTTCCTCATGGGGCAGGTACTTCCGCCCTCCTTCGTTTGCCAAGCCAGACACCTGCAGGGCGGGGTGGGGAACCCCCATCCGAGGAGAGGGAGAGTGGGGTGGGGGAGGGAAGGAGGAAGATGAGCCGGTTGAAGGTGTGAGAGGAAGCCCAGCTTTTCCCCCTCTCTCATGTCATGTTTTATTTTCTATAGATGATCTTCAGACGGGACCAAGGGGGCAAAGCAACCAGGGGCTAACCCATAGCCCTCCAGCAACCCCCCAGCACCTCCCAGGGGTCCCTAGTTGAAAGAAAGGCAGAAAGACAGAGAGAAAGAAAGAAAGAAAGAAAGAGGGAAGGAGGAAAGGAAGGAAGGAAGGAAGAAAAGAAGAGGGGCTGGAGCAATAGCACGGCAGGGAGGGCGTTTGCCTTGCACATGGACAACCCGGGTTCAATTCCCAGCATTCCATAGGGTCCCCCAAGCACCTCTAGGAGTAATTCCTGAGTGCATGAGCCAGGAGTAACCGCTGGGTGTGACCCAAAAAGCAAAAACAAAAAAAAAAGGAGAAGAAAGAAAGAAAAGAAAGAAAAAGTGAGGGAAGATGGCAAAGATGGCAAAGCTTTCCTCTGGCTTGGCAGCCCACCCTTGCCGTCCCTCTGGACCAGGGGAGATATTTTAGCCCCTGCCTGGGGTCCTTGAGGCCCCCAGGATGCCCAGCTGCCTGTGACTCAGTTTCCCTTTGGACTAACTCCCACCTCCCACGTGAAGGAGTCACTTCCATCAGCCCCTGCCCTGCAGGGGGGTGGGCGTGGGGCTCCCTGGCAGGTGGCAGGTGTGTGTGGCCCCTGGGTCCCTGCCTTAGAGAGGGGCTGAGCAAGTCGGGGTCCTAGCACCTTCCTCCCTCAGGCAGCTGCCAGGGTCAGCCTGTGGACCTCGGTGGAGGGGTACATCCTGGGCACGTAGTCATCGAGATGCCCCCAACATCCGTGAAGGAGCGTTGGAGCTTCCAGAGGCTTCCTGGGGGGGGGGGGAGTCGGGAGCCCCGGGAAGGGAAGGAGACAGGTGGGTCCCCGCCAGCCCGGCACCTCGGGGAGAAACACAGTTAATTCCCAGAGAGGCTACGGAGGGCAGGAAAGAGCAAGCGAAGGGCAGGGGAGCAGCCGGAGTGGGAACTTTTCCCCAGAGGGGGACCAAGCTGTGCTGTCCCTGCGGCTGGACCCGCGCAGCCCGGGCAGGGGACAGTATCTGTTTAGATTTGTGTCTAAATTTAAACCCTCATCGCAGGCCTCCCTCCCCCCTCCGCCAGCTCCCCACCCTTCCCTCCTCCCCCTCCTCCTCCTCCTCCTCCTCCTCCTTCCTCGTTCTGGCGAGCTGGGCCCGCCGGCCAGTCCCGCCGCCGCCGAGGGAACCGGCCGGCCGCCGGCCACACGCCCGCCCGCGCCCGGGGACAGCGCGACCGTCACCCCGCGGCGCCCCGCGCGCCCGCGCAGCTGTGGACATGGAGGTAACCGCGCGCGGGGCAGAGAAGTGGGGACCCGGGCGCCCCTGGGCTGGTTTTGCAGAGATCCCCGGGGCCCCTCGCAGCTGCTGTGGCCGAGCCCCCCACCCCACCCCAGGGTGCAAGGTCCCGGCTGTACCTGAGCGGGCAGGGGGTGGCAGGCGGGCAGGGGGTGGCAGGCGTCCGCCGGGGACCGCCTGGAGTCTGGGTGGGGTGGGGGGGGGCGCGACTCCGAGGAGCAGCCAACTTGGGGAAAGGGACAGATGTGGGGTGAAAAAAAAGTCTGTGGGAAGCCAAAGCTCTCCACACACACACACACACACACACACACACACACACACACACACACACACACACCAATAATAATAATAATGCATATTATTCTGGGCGTTAGAGGCACAGAATCATCCCTTGCCGGGCTGCCCTTCTGCTGAAAGGGGTGCAATTGTCACCTAGTTCAGACCTTCCCCCAAGTCCCCTTTCTGCACCCCCTCCTCTGCAGTGGGTGAGACTCTAATCAGACCCAGATTCCTTTCCTGTCTGTGCCCTGGACGCAGGGCACCAGGGGGGCTGCTGGCCACCGGGGACGGGTCAGGGTGGGGGTGGGGCACCCCAGGGAGACCCTGATTCGGCCCCTGGCTGATCCTCTCCTGACATTTAGCCCCAGGGCTGGTCACCATCGCTCCGCCTTCCCGGGACTTTTGCAGAAGGAGTGGAAGGTCCCCCGGGGGTTGGACATCCCTTCTGGGCGCCCAGCTCTGGGCTTGGGACTTCCTTCCGTCCCGATAGGGCCTCTTTTGGGGTCTGCAAGTCAGGGGCCGTGATGCTGGGAACTTGGGGGGAAGTGAGGGCAGGGGGGTCACCCCCTATCCAGATCACAAACGTACCCCAGGCGCCCTGAGCTCCACAGCCTGCAATCCGAGGGAGCACCGGCTGTAGGGCTGGGGGCCACCGAGGGGACCTGTATCCCCTCCCGGGGTACCCCCTGGGCCCTCTGAAAGCGTCTCCAGTTTCAGCCCAGAACCTGGGGGGCTCCTGATCTAGGACCTGTCCAAATCTTGAGCACCCACAGGTCAGCGCTAGGATGGCAGCAAGGCAGAGGAGGGTGACGATGCGAGTTGGGGGCATTTGTGCTGGGGGAAAAAAAAAAACAATAACCCACGGGGCTGGCACAGTGTCTCTGCCTGATGGAGAGGAAGCTGGAGAGTTGCTGAGCGAGGCATCGAAAGGCCGCACCCCCCCACCCCACCCGGCCACTTCCGCCTGTGCAATGAGGGGCCTGCAGTTTCCGGGGGGTAACGGAGTGCGGGGGGAGAGGCCTGGGCAGGACAGCGGGGTGGGTTTGGCCGGGACTGGCTTTTGAAGCTTCTTTGTCAAATACACGTGAAAGAGAAGAACAAGGGAATCGAATCGAATCAGAGGGGTCAGGGCAGCGCTGGTGTAGGAAATAGAGAGGAACCGGAAGGGGACACTCTTGACCCGGAAGTCACATCTCCATAGTGGCACCTGACGGCCAGGTGTGAGATGTGGGGGGTTCCCCGAACCCTCAGCCGAGCCCCCTTTGCAGAGCTGGGACCCCCCTTCGGAGCATTCCCTCATTCCACATCTGGAATTAGAGGATTTCCCAGGATGAGGAATTGCAAACCCAGAGCAACACGGTTAACCCAACTCCCCTCCTGGGGCCGGAGCATAGCACAGCTGGAAGGGTGCTGGCCTGGCATACGGCCGACCCAGGTTCGATCCCCGGCATCCCACAGGGTCCCCTGAGCCCCGCCAGGAATGATCCCTGAGCGCAGAGCCAGGAATCAGCCTGAGGAATGCCAGGAGTGACCCCCCCAAACCCAAACCCAAAACAGCTCTTTTACAGAACTTTCTTACCCAATGGAAGTCTCAGGGAAATCTTGTCTCGCTTCCTTTGGTTTCAAATCACTGTTATCGTTATCAATAACCCAAATCAGGCCTTCAGCCACTGCTGTTAAGCCTGCTGGAATAAGCAAGATAAAAATACCTTTTGAAAGCTCCCAGATAGAGACGCCTGAGAATTAGCACAGCGGGGAGAGAGTTTGCCTAGCATGCGACGGACCCGGGCATCCCATAGGGTCCCCCAAGCACCACCAGGAGTAATTCCTGAGCACAGAGCCAGGAGTAATTACCGGATATAGCTCAAAACCCAAATAAAATAAAAGCTCCCAGATAGGACCAGAACTTCTGTGCACCCCTGGGCATGGCCCAAAAGCCAAACAAACAAAAGCAACAAAAACTAAATAAATCAGAGCTTCTCCCGCAGTAGAAGGAAGGAAGGAAGGAACAATTTTCAAGACTGTGAATGGTTGCTGTCTGCAGCGTTTGTGGTCTTTCAGAGTTGGGGGGCAAGATTGGCTTGGAAAGAGGAATCAGATGGGGAGCAGGGCAGGGCATAAGGGAGGGGCCTACGAGAACAGTGGACGGTGTGTCCCCAACCACTGAAGCAGAACTGCCAAGATTGTGCTGGGCGCATGTGGGCGGACCAGGGGTCACACCCAAGACCTCACACTCAAGGCAGAAGCTAAAGCCATCACAGAGCCCTAGACCAGGTGGAGACAGGAAGCAGGGAGCAAGGCAGAAAGAGGAGACTCCAGAAAGATTCTGGAGCTGGATTCTGGCTCCGTGGGTGTGCTTGGGGGGGGGGGGGGGGGGCAAACTAGAAGGTTGCTTACTTGCTTGCTTCTTTCTCAAATTCTCCACCCATGGGACTGGAGTGATAGCACAGCAGGTAGGGTGTTTGCCTTGCATGCAGAGACCCGGGTTCGATTCCCAGCATCCCATATGGTCCCCTGAGCATCGCCAGAGGTAATTCCTGAGTGCAGAGCCAGGAGTAACCTCTGTGCAATGCCGGGTGTAACCCAAAAAGCAAAAAAAAAAAAAAATCTCCACCCTGCTGCTAAGTCAGATGGGCGAAACTCAGTGCTGGAAACTCGGTGTTTGGGGGTGCTGGGAGGTGTGGGGAGGCCAGGGTGGGACGAGATGGTCCCTCCCATTGGGCTGGAGATTGGGAAGGGATCTGAAGGAGGAATGTCCAGACTCCACAGGGGTGATGAGAAGTGACTTGTGCCTGGATGCCGGGACACCCGGAGAAGGGTGATTCTGCTCTGGAACCTTCCTTTTTTTGTTTTGTTTTATTTTGGGATCACACCTAGCCAATGCTCAGGGGTTCCTCCTGGCTCTGCGCTCGGGAATTATTCCCAATGGTGCTTGGGGGACCCTATGGGATCGAACTCGGGTCGGCTGCGTGCAAGGCAAATGCCCTCCGGCTTTCTGGAATGGGGATTCACTTATTCCAGAGATGAGCTCCGTGTCTGCAAGGGAATCAGTCATGCTGGCTTGTTAACAGATAAGGCAGCTGGTGCTGCTCAGGGCTCACTCCTGGCAGTGCTCAGGGATGCTGGGGAGTCGAACCCAGGTCAGCCACATTCAAGGCAAGTGCTTGAAGCCCTCTAGTCTCTGATCCAAGTGTCTGCTATCTAGCTGAAGGATTTTCAGGCCATGAAAAATAAACCTTACGGCCCCTGAACCAACAGGGAATTCCTAAGGGAGAGAGGCCATTCGTGAATTCTCTCCTTGAGCAAAGTTCCAGGTTTGACCAAAGATGACTTGCCACTTGTCATTTAATCATTATTTATCAGACTAACATGCTACATCTTGTGTTTTTAATGTTATGGGGCCTGGCCGGGAATGATAGCACAGCGGGGACGGCGTTGGCCTTGCACACGGCCGACCCGGGTTCGATCCTGGCCAAAAATAAATAAATAAAATCAATGTTATGGGGCCAGAGAGAGTATAGAGGGGACATGTGGCATGGTGCCCTGGGCACTGCCAGGGGTCATTCCTAAGCACAGAGCCAGTAATAGCCCCTGGGCACTATTGGGGGTGGCCCCCAAAATCCCAAAGCAAAAACCCATAAGAATAAGTATGTGTGACTTAAATAAGACCTTGTCCGGTCTATGGCCCAGAGCTGAGCGTTTGTCCTGTTAGCAGGAGGCCACACAGAGTTCCCCCGAGCATGCCAGGAGTGACCCTCAAGCCCAGGGCCAGAGCACTGCTAGGTATGTCCCCCCACACCCCCCAAAAAATCTTGGGGTGATTAGTGTCTTATCCTCAAGAGTCACTGATGCTGATGGTGCATGTGTGAACATTATAGTACAATTGTGTTTGTCTGTTAATTTTTTTTTTCTTTTTGGGTCACACCCAGCGATGTCCAGGACTGACTCCTGGCTCTGCACTCAGGAATCACTCTTGGCGGTGCTCGGGGGACCCTATGGGATGCTGGGAATTGAACCCAGGTTGGCCACCTGCAAGGCAAACGCCCTCCCTGCTGTGCTATCGCTCCAGCCCCTGTCTGTTAATTTTTTTTTTTAGCTCACACCTGGCATTGTCCAGGGCTCACTCCTGGCTCTGCACTCAGAGATCACCACTGGCGGGCTCTGGGGACCCTTTGGGGGGCTGGGGATTGAACCCAGTTGGACGTGCACGGGCAAGGCAAACACCCTCCCAGCGTGCTATCTCTCTGCCCCCTGGCCTTTGCTATTTTGAGCCCTTTGTGTCTCTGAGCCCCAGGTGGGCTGTTGGCTGGAGCTTGGGGGGGGGGGGGGTTCCAGCGGGGAGGGGTCCCAGGCCTGTGGCAGGCCGAATGTGGTGGGGAGTCCTCTGAGAGTGCCCCAGCACCCCCACATCCCTCCTGGCTCCCACAACCCAGAGACCCCAGCCGCCGCCTGGCAGGGACTCAGGTTTCCAGCTGGCGGCTCCTGCCTCCCTGCCAGGCCCCTGCGTGCCGCCGTGGGAAAGCCCGACACCAGCCACCCCCTAATCTTATCAGGGCAGCAAGCAAAGCATTCAGTTCCAGAAAAGTCCCAAGGCCGCACCGCCTTCCTCCAGGACGTTAGACTTCCTAGCTCTCCCTCCTCGCTGCCTCAGCCCATGGAGGGGCCCGAGGGATGTGATGGGTAAACCGGAGCAGAGCTGGATGTCTG